GAGGATCGATGATGCCTTCTAAGAAATCCCCTGAAGTAGTTGGGAAAGGGAAAGGTTTACTAATTGATGATGAAGACTATGTGAATGAGAAGGATTTTGATTTTTCTGTTTCTGAACAGAATATGGAAGATTCTGCTTCCCTTGAGCCATTTCCAAAGCTTTCTATGAAACCCATTTTAAACAACTGCAATGAAAATGTTTTAAAAATGCCTCTAGAAAGAAGAATTCTGAAGAATGCGACCTTGGTTGTAATGAGGTTGGCTCTAGCAATGATGCTCTTAAACTATCTGACTCAGCTCAAACTAGTACTCTAGTGGTTAATACTTCTGACTTAAATCAAGTTCTTCAATGCAATAATGGAGATATGGGAATGTGCAAAGAAGCTGTGAATGAAGTCATTGAAAGACCAAAGCTTATTAATCAACAAAATGCCTGGAGCAGCAGGAAGGAACATATCAAGGTTGCTCAGCTAAATCTGGGAGACTTTCTATCTGAAGATGGAGCTACAGTTAAACTCAACGAAGACAAGGTGATGGAGAATTCAGGGAAATTACATAATTCTATTGTGATTAAGGTCTTTGGAGGCAAATTTCCTTTCTCGGTGGTATGCACAGAACTTAGAAGACAATGGGCATCTTATGGAAAGTTCCACCTAACCATGTTAGGATTGGATTGGGTGCTCTGTTCATTTTTTGAAAAAGAAGCAATGGAGGCTATCTTTTCCAATGGACCTTGGTTTGTAAATGGTAAAATCATTGGGATGGATAAGTGGTCAGTAAGCTTCAATCCAACTTCTTTAAAAGGCTTGAGTGCTCCTATTTGGATAAGACTACCTAATCTCCCTCTTTAATGTTGGGATGAGATCAACATTTATAGAATTGCTTCCATGGTTGGTAAACCAATCTTGATTGATGGAAACTTGTTCCAATGGGGCAGAAGAGAATTTGGAAGAGTTTGTGTTCGTCTTAATTTGGATGCTAAACAACCCATGGGAGTTTTGGTGAAAGGAAGTATGGGCAAATTCTATCAAAAAGTAGAATATGAAAGGCTCCCAGAATTTTGCTTTTTCTGTGGGAAAATGGGCATAACAAAAACACTTTCTTGGAGATTTTAAATAAGGAAAACAATGCTTTAAATATAACCAAGGAGAGCACAAAGGTTATACCTGATGGGAATTCAAAAATCAATAATTCTGAAATAATTGCTGCTGTTCATGAAGAAACTATTGGGTATGGACCCTAGATCCAAGTCAACTATGGAAGGAAAAGAATATTTAAAAATGGCTTCAGGAATTCTTCTCGAGCTGACAAGATGAATGCTTTAAATAAAGCTGATGTTGGTAGCAATTAGGCTGTTTGGAAGGCAGTTGAAGCTGTAAAGACAACTAATGAGGAAATTTCAATTAAACATGCAGAAGAGGTCTATCAAAAACCCAACCCAGTAAAGGAGGTCCTTCCACCAACCCAAGAAGAAGAAGGTATGAATGTTATATATTCTAAAATAATTTTTGGTAATAAATTCAACATCCTGAAAGATTTAATTGAAGAAGGTGAAATCATTTCCTCTGTGCTGGAGGAGAATTTAGTATGTGAAGACAATGGAAATTTACATGTCTCAGAGCCTAATAAATTCAACAACAAAGATCATAAGCTGATTAACGAAAACAAGGATGATGGCCCTTTTGTCAACAAAAGGAAAGGTTCTAAACAATTAAAAGGATTAGGACCTATTAATTCAACTCCTAGGAGTAGGAGAGTTGAGATTGACATCAAAGATAAGCTGGGGTCTTCAACCCCTCTTAATCAATGAACTCTTCCATTGGTTTTTGGAATTGTAGACGAGCTTGGAAGAGAAAAGCTTCTCTATACTTAAAACAATTTGTGAAAAAGCATGGTGTTTTTTTTTATTGGTTTATTGGAAACCAAAGTTTCTTACTTTGATAGAAAAGATGTGGATCAATTTATTGGATCTGAATGGGATTTCTTCCATGTGCCTTCAGAAGGGCTTTCAGGAGGTATTCTTGTTCTTTGGAAGTCAAACTTTACTTCTTTTCATGTTTTAGAATCTTCCTCTCAAGTAATAGTGGGAGACATGGAGATACTCAATATAGGAGTTTGGAGGATAGCTTCTGTGTATGCCAACAAGGATTTCTATGTTAGAAGAATGCTTTGGGAAAAGCTGGAGTTCTTTACCTCTAAGGAGGTACCGATGATCATAGGTGGAGACTTCAATTGCATTTTATCTAGTGAAGACAAAAGGGGAGGGAGAAGATTTAATCTCTCCCTTAACACCAAAGAAATGAAGATCTTCCTTGCTAACAATGACTTTCATGAAGTTGGTTTTGTGGGTCCTAAATTCACTTGGTGCAACAATAAAAAAGGGTGGATCGAATCCTTGAGAGGCTTGATAGATGTTTTCTCAACCCAGCAGCCATTTCTTCAAAAAATCGGTTCTTTCTAAGGCATTTAGCTCGGGTGGCTTCAGACCATTTTCCAATCTTATTTGAATTTTACTGTTCAACAAGCTAGCAAGAAAATCATTAGATTTGAGGATGTATGGGCTTCCAATAAAGCTTCTATGGCTGTGGTGGAGAAAGTAAGGAGGAGCAATTATAAAGGTAATGCGTCAAATATTCTTAATAGCAAAATGAAAAATTCTCTCAAAGCTCTTTACTTTGGAGCAAGGCAACAATGAAAAATCTGTTATCCCACAAGAAAGAGTTGCTTATTCAAATTGAAGAGCAGCAATTGAAGGAAGCTAATGAAGGTTTTCTCTCGGATGTGGAATGCTGGAGTCTAAAATCAAAAGTGGAGGAGCTTAATTCTACCCTTGCTCGATTAGATACGTGGCGGAGACAAAGGGCCAAAGTCAAATGGATGACGGAGGGAGATCAGAATTCAAACTTCTTTCAGGCTTATGCCTCAGCTAGAAGACATTCAAATTTTATTGCTAAAATTTAAGATGGTGCGGGAGAAGTGCTAGAGGATCAGTCTCTTATTCATCAGGTCTTGCTAGACCATTTCAAAGAAAAATGGAGGTACCGGAGCTGCAACTTAGAAAATTGGCCATATTTCTAGAGTCGCCTTGTAGATGAAGACAAAACTAATTTGAGCAAGGAATTTGCAGTTGAAGAAATGGTTGAAGCAGTAAAGAATACGGGCAACTACATCTCTCTAGGAATAGATGGTATCACTTTCTCTTTTTTTAAATCCTATTGGTTTATTATAAAAGATGACTTATAAAATGCCTTTAAAATGTTTTTTGATACCTCTATTATGGATCATTTATGGAAGGAGACTATTATTGTTTTGATTCCCAAAATCAGTAATCCTCTAACTCCCTCAAATTATAGACCAATTAGTTAATGTAATTCAGTTTACAATGTGGTGGCAAAAATTCTTTTGAATAGATTGACTCCAATCTTGCATAAATTTATCTCTGAAGAACAAGCGGCATTCATCAAGGGTAGAGATCCTTGTCCGACCATGTCTTAATAGCTCAAGAGGTCATACACAAATTAAGAATTTCAAATTCTCAAAAAGGCTTTGTTTCTTTTAAAGTTGATATGGAGCAAGCTTATGATTCCATGGGATGGCTTACCATGGAAAATCTGGACAGCAAAAATTCGAGATCACCTACATGGAAATCTTCTGATCGGGTGGTAAAACTATTAGGTTCCTCATCAGATGGAAGCTGGGCAATGGATCAGACATTGATGATGTTAATGACGTATGGATTTTGGATAAGAGTATTGCTGAATGGCCAACCTTCGTTGCTCCTATTGACTGCAGCAGTTTCACGGTTTCAAATTTTCTACTTAATGGAAGCTGGGATGTAGAAAACATGAAAAGATTCTTGGGAGAAGACTTGATCAATCTTATACTACAAAACATTGTCCCAAACTGTTCAAGTAAAGATTGTATGGAATTGTTGTTTAAATACAATGGAAAATCTATATCTTCTATGGTCTATGAATTATTGGTGAAACACGCTGAACCGAAAGATTTCTGGAAATGGTTGAAGAAAGCAAGACTAAACCCAAAAGTGGAATCCCTTTGGTGGAGAATCTTCAACAATGCTCTTCCCACTTGTTATTTTCTAGAACACAGGAGATTAATTAGTGATAATCAATGCTCAAGAAGCTGCAATGCAATAGAAGATAGAGATAATATTGTAGCTAATTGTGAAAAACTGCAGGAAGTTCTGAAACAGATTAAGGAATGGGGATTTGTTTTTTATGATTTCCATTCTATACAAGACTGCAGTAATCATTTGTCTTCTCAATCTCCATTCATGATCAATCTCTATTGCTCGGTGGTGTATTTTACTTGGAAATCAAGGAATAGCTTCATTCATAATGGAAAGGAGGATAGCTCTCTTAGCATTGCCTCCAAAGCAATTGGTTTTGCTTCATTTGTAAATCTTGGGAATCATAGTATTTCGGGTATATGGTATGTCAACCAACCTTATAGGTTGTCTAATCCTCATTGGCATCCCCCACCACCCGATTGGCTCAAAGTCAATGTAGATGCTTCATTACTTCCTTCATACAAAGCCGGAATTGGAGGAGTGTTTCGTGATCATAAAGGAAGATTTCTTCTAGCATTTGGAAAACCGTACACTCATTGGGATATATCGGCTTTGGAATTTTTGGCCACTCAATATATAAAGGAGATGCTAAAGGATTGAATGTTTAAATGCAAGGGAATCATCATAGAAGGTGATAATATCAATATCATAAAGCTCTTGAAGGAAGTCAAGAAGAATGGTGAAACAAGGTATGCAAATATTCATATATTTGATGAGTTTAACAACGTTATCTTCAATTGTGTTGATAGAAGTTGTAATAAGTTCGCAGATTTATGTGCTAACTATGGTATCTTGTCTTCTTTTATTTGAGTTGATGTTAGTCTCAATAAGATTTTTCCTTTATTTATGTCTATATTAAAGAAGGAATCAATAGTTTGAGTCTTTTACTTTGTAATAGTTTCTTCTTTTCTTCAATGCTAAATGAGGCATTTTCCTTAAAAAAAAAATAATTCATCATCCGAAGCCATTACAAGAAGGAATTCAAATTAATCAACAAATATATAAATGCATAAATAAATAGGAGCTAACCAAGAAGAATGCAACATGTGGATGGTTGCAGACAGGGCATTTGAGTTCCTTTTCACGAGGAACTGTGGGATCCGCGTAAGCAGCTCGAAAGCTCTGAGGTCGCTCGGTGGTCTGTGTTATCTCATTTCTGTACACGCGGTTACTCTCCGCCACCTCCTGTAATAAATTTGTCAATTCATTTATTCAATATGAATTCTAAAGTAATTATATATATATAATATACCTATTAATATAGGATCATATATATATAATATATTATTATATTTATATATATGTATATTATATTTTATTGTTATTTATTTTTTTTTTTTTATCTGATCACAAGTTAGAATTTTCAGAGATAACGAACCGTGTAACTACAGGTGCGGCAGGCACTGAGTAGGATCTTACGCTTCTTATCTTCTTTTGGGTAGAGTAATGTTGCTGCATTAATTACACAGATAAAATTTCAAAGAATTATATTTCTCGTTAAACGTAATAACCCATTCAAACTAATTAGTTAGAAGAGGTTTCATGGATAATGCAGACGGAAAGGTAATGCATTCTACCATTCCGGGACAGAATTTCATGGAGAACTCATGGCTTCCAACGCCACCAACGTCTGCCTCAATGAATCTTAGTTTTCTTTCAAGAGAGATAAGAAGAAAGATAAAGAATGAGAAGAGAGAGAGAGAGAGAGAGAGAGAGAGAGATTCCTACGCATTTTAAAAGCTTAATGTAAGCCGAAAGATGCTAACAAATTTAACAGTAATCCTTAAACTTAGGGTGCATTTGGGACGGCGGCACTGTTGCTTTGCTTTATAAAAAGTTATTAAATTTTTGTTTGGGGGATTGCGGCAGAATTACGGTAGAAAAACTTCGCGGCATGTAGCTGCTTCCCGCGAACTTTCCTTATGTCCCGCGGGCCGCTGCTTTCTGCGAAAAAATGATATAAATCCACGCTTCCAAATATTCGCGACCTTCCCATCGACGCCTTCCACACCACTTCCGACTACAATTACCAAACCTAAAGACCAACGTCAAGCTCCTCAAGCTCATCTCTGCAATCTCCCGAACTGGCTTCTCCAATCAATCTTCTTCACTTTCTAATTCTTGTCCCATCTCGCCGCTATTGCCGTCATCGCCCACGATAAGCGATTTTGCGCAATGTCCCATCCACTATTACTCCGCCTTTTCTGGATCTTCTCCTTCCTACTGTGAATCCTCCTCACCGTCTCCGCAATCTTCCGCCTCTTCTCTTCATCCGCCAACTTTCCAGATGGCATCAACTCCCTCGTCTTCCTTCTCTTCTCCACCTCTCTTCCTATCTCTGCCCTCTCCCCTTCCACCAGTTTCCATTCCCTGCTCTCTTCTTCATCCCCCGCCTCCCCATCAAGGTGTGGTAAGGTTTTTTGTACTCGGGAAGCGTGCTGGTCGATGTAAGAAGAACCATAACAGGGATCGTGAGTTCATGCTGCGGGAAGCGACTACAAGATGTTTTTTTTTTTTTTTTGGGACATTTAGGCCAATTAAGGCAAACTCACACACACAACGCATACACATAGACTCGAACCTTGGACCTCTTAGTTGGAAGCCTAAGCTCTCAACCAATAGGCCAAGGGGAGTTGTGTACTACGAGATGTTTAGATGATGGCGAGGCTATCAAGGTGATCTCTCAGCAGAATAGGGCCTCTGCCAAGCCAACGACCTTGGAAAGATCAAGTGGAGAGATGTCTACGGTGCTTATTGTTGTTTTGATGAGTTTTCACTTCTATTAAGTCCTTAATTCTTCTAGCTAAAATATTTATTGATGATATGTAATTACATACTTATTTAATCTTTTAATTAAATTAAAAAAAAATAGAGATTTATTATTATTAGAAAAAATATATTTATTATGAAGTAATAGCATATAATATAATTTTTTAAGATTAATATAAACTATGGTAGTATATTGTAAAAAAAAAATTATAATAATTAAAAATTATAAAATATTTCATAAAAACATATAATTTTAATTTATAATGGTTAGTTTGTTATATATATTTTTTAAATTGTGATATTTTTTTTTTTTTCATCTCAATATATATAAGAGCATAAAGATAATTTATTTTTGTACAATTGTAGCAATGCAACGTTATAGTTAAACTTTCCAAATAAAATATGATACTTTATGTTTTGTTAGTTTTTTAGCATATAAATTTTTAGAAAAATTTGACATTTACATTTTTTTTTCATCTCAATATATAAAGGTATAAAGGTAATTTATTCCTATACAGCTGCAACACAGCAACTTGACAGTTATACTTCCCAAATAAAATGTATTGCTTTCTGTACAACGATTTTTGAAAGCAGATTTATGTACAACAATTTTACAACCTACTTTTTTGAAAGCAGAGTTTTGTACAATAATTTTGCAACCTACTTTACCGACAGCTGCAACCGTCCCAAACGCATCCTTAGTTGCATCAACTGCCCTGAGTTAGTTAGAGCAATTTAAATAGCGGTTTAGTGGTTTCTTCTCTCCACCATTACGGATTCAAATTTGAGCCTTTGAATTTATTTTGATATTATTAATATTACTTTTATGTATTATATTATAGTTTTAGAAATAATGAGAAAATAACGAGATGTTGAATGACAGCAATATTATTATTATTATTATTATTATTATTGGTTAAAACTCACAGTGGGGCCTACGCGTTAAAATAAAAATAAATGTTACAAAGTCCTTAGAAGGGACCTCCAGATTGCTATTGCTCAAAAGAGCTACAAAAAAATTAAAAATAAAACCTAAAAGCCGGTGGTCTCTTTTTCTATGATTACAAAACAAATATAAGTAAAAGCTAGGGCTGCAAGCAGACAACACCCAAAAAAGGAAGACCATATTGATCTCGTTCAGCACATCTTCCTGTAAAAATAGTAAGCAAAACTCAAAAGATTATGAAGATTATAAGACGTGAAAACATTGCTATCATTGAGAATCCAAAACTCAGAGAAATTCTGCCTGCAAAAACAACTCCAAAAACCAATGTTAGTAAAATAGTGATAATTGCAACATTTAATCCAAACATTATGATACCCGTTGAATAGGATGCCACGAGTGAATAGAAATAATCCCCTTAGATGCTGCAAAGAGGCTTTAATGTTAGAATTGTTCCAAGCAACAATAGTGATAACCTGAATGAGATCCTCCATCATTACATACATAAGATAAACAATAATCCTCATAGATAACCCCATGATACTCAAAACATATCTAAACTTATTGTTAGTCTTCCCGGTAATGGCAAAATTATAAAATTTACAGTTAAAATAAAGAGTCAAATCCAAGAAAAGCCCCATAAGAATAAGATAGACATTGATTTGCTGCTTGGAAAAATGCCACCAAAACAACGCCCCTAGAAACCCGTGGAACACCACCATACCCCCAATAAAACCCTAGATGGCAAACAGACTACACGAGACAAACAACAACAACAACAACAAAAAATAGAAACAAGAGAGCTCACACGTACATAACAGACAAGCAATAAGCAAACCAGGAAGAAAAATAGTGCAGTCAACCATGACGGATGTAAGGGAGACCGATCTTGTCCAAGGTAATCATGCCTCTAAGAGGAATAGGCAGATTATTCAGTAGATGCTCCTGAAAAATCTCACTTTGAGCACCAAAATTATCCAGCCAATCTGCACACGCGTTACCTTCACGACAGATATGGGAAGTAGTAAAGGTGAGCATAGAAAGAGCCATTTTAATTTTTCTGATAGTGTAAAAGTCCTGAGGACAACCAGTATAATTATCAGAAATCACATGAATAACCAGATTATGATTAACTTCAATGTTGACATTATAAATACCTAATCTCAAGCACATATCTAAGACATTATACAAACCCAAAAGCTCAGTAGACAAAACAGAAAAAAAAAGGGGACCAGAGAAAACGACAATAAGATTGCTAGTGTGGTCCCTGATAATGCCACCCATACCAGCATTAGTAGCACTGACAGAACCATCCGTGTTAAGTTTAACAAAAGGAGCACTGGGTTTGAACCACCTCACAATACGAACCAGCTTTCCCACATTACTAGATTTAGTAAGCTTCGCAAAATAATTAGCTAATAGATTGAAATTCATAAAATATTTTTTAGAAATAAGATTAACAGAAATCAACAGCAGAATTTTATCCCTCACATTAGAAATAATCTGGTTAGCATACATTTTGATCTCCTTATTCTTATAATCATTTCTACCTTTCCAAAGGTACCCAATAATCACAATAGGCAGTAAATTATGGATGTGGCCTTTGCTTTTAGAAAACCAAATCTTAAGAATGTCAGCCAAATCACAGTTAGCATTGAAAACACCAATAACAACCATATTAAAAAAATGATGCCAGACTCTACAAGCAATGACACTATTAACAAACACATGTTGAATGCTCTCAATATTGAAACAGAACTGATAATTAGAAGCAAAGCTAAACCGTTTTTTCCACAAAAGGTTATCCACTGGCTAGAAGCATTTAATACACCTCCAAGTTAAAACAAAATAAGATAAAGGAATAGTGTTATGCCAAAGCGACTTAAAGATTTGACATATTTCACCTTTTAATCTTATCTCCTCCCAAACCTTCTTGAGACTAAATTTGTCAGAGGAAGACAACTTAAATAAAATTTTATCTATGAGATATAATTGTAAAGGAATTTGAACAATTTTCTCAATAATATCATTGGGGACCACCTCCTGAAGTTTAGGAATGTCCCAATTCCCATTATGAATGAACTCATTCACTTTATTGTTGATAATGGTATGAGTATTAAGATAATTATCAATAGATAATGTTCCCAACCAATTGTCTTGCCAAAAAGAAACCTCCCCAATGCCAATGCCCCAATGGATGTACTATTTTGCTTCCCATTTAATATTGCAAAGCCTTTTCCAAACAAGAGAATCAGAAGCTTTGAAATGGCAAACCAGAGGATTAAGCTTCTTATAATATTTAGCAATCATAAATTAGGCCCCTAAGCTATTTTGAGATCTAAAATCAAACCAAAGTTTATGAGAAAAGGCATGCACAATATTAGTAATGGACTGCAACCAAGCGACCCTTCATTGTAATTCCCACAAACTTTTCTCCAAGTTGACCAATTGATACAAGTCTTATTATTGATAGCCCCCCAAAAAAATTATTTATCATTGTTTTCATTCTCATACAAACAATGGACGGAGGTTTCAGCCTGTGAAATATAAATATAGGAATATAGCTTAAGACACTTTTATCAAAATCAGTCTATCACCAAAAGACAGGATATTTGAAGAACAATTAAGGTTTTTTTTTTTTGAAAGATAGTAAAAATATTTTCAAATAGAAAAAGTTTTTTTCCTGCCTTTAAAAAGGAGTGTTCCATGATATTTAATAGGAAGCAAAGACTGATTGAAACCATAAATTCTTTTGATCATACTCCCTCTACTGCTATTCACAGAATTTCCAGTAATAAAGTTACACTTCTCCCTATTAATAGATAGACCACTAATACTCTGGAAAGTGGAGAAAAATTTAGTAAGAATTTTAACTTTATTTATAGAAGCATTAGAGAAGATAATAAAGTCATCAGCAAAGCTAAGGTGAGTAATAGGAAAAATACCAACAGTATGAAAGTTAAGCATAGGGTACCTTCTATAAAGATTTTCTAGACCTTTGGATAGATATTCCATAGCTATAATGAAGAGGGAAGGAGACAAAGGATCCCCTTTCCTAAGACCATGCTTGGATGGGAAAAAAGCCATGATTATTACCATTGATGATAACAGAACAAAAATAGTTTTTGATAATATTCTTGATAAGCATAATAAAAGACTAACTAAAACCAAACAAATGTAAAACTTTGTAAAGAAAATCCCACTTCTAGTTGTCATAGGCCTTCATAATGTCGAGTTTAAACATAATGTTGCCTCCAGTGCCTTTAGCATTAAGATCATGAACCATCTCTTGAGCTAATAAAATGTTATAAAAAATGCTTCTGCCTTTTACAAAACCAGTTTGGTTGATGCAAATAATTCTAGGAAAAATGAAAGAAAGTCTAGAAACAATGATTTTAGCCACCAGCTTGTTAAAGAAAATACAAAGACTAATAGGTCTAAAATTGTTCCAATAAGTAGTACTGTGTTTTTTAGGGATAAGCACAATATTAGTGGAGGTGAAAATTTTAGGGTAAGTAGTACCTTTAGAAATATCATGCACAGCACCAACCACATCATTTTTAATAATATCCCAAGTTTGAACAAAAAATTTGGTAGTTAAACCATTAGGACCAACCACCGAGTCCCCATTCATATCTTTAATGATGTTCCAAATTTCATCTTCCGTAAGAGGTCGAATAAGCAACAAATTAACTTTTTCACCCACAATATTAGGAATCACATTAGAATTAGTAATAGGAATAGTTAACTTGGAAGTATTGAAAACCTCTTTAAAATACTCAACACCAGAAATAGCAATTAAATCCTCCGTATCATAAACATTACCCTGGTTATCAACAATTCTTTGAATATGAATTCTAATTCTATTCTTGTTAACTAAAACATGAAAAATATAGTGTTCCTATCCCCTTCCAAATTTAACGTGATAGCGGCTTTTTGTTTCCAAAAAGTCTCTTCTTGATTTTACAAATGAAAAAGATGAATTTTAGTATTGTCAAGATTGGAAAAAGTATCACTAGAAGGATTTTCTAGCAACATCGTATCCAACTCCAACACCTTCTCTTCAAATTCTTTTATGTTATCAAAAATATTTTTAAAAATATGCTTATTCCACCATCTAAGAAGTTGTTTAAGCCTGCTTAACTTAGCCCAGAGACTAGCCATGCTTTCAATATTATTATCAGGAAAGAATTGGCATTCCAATTATTAGCCACAACATTAAAGAAAAAGAGGCCTTCGTGTTATTGTTAGAAATATTCATAAGAAGATGTGAATGGTCAGATAAAGTTCTACTCAAGTGCTGAACTTGAGTCATATGAAAACTGTTTATCCACTCATTATTAAAGAGGATCCTATCTGTTGCAATTTTGGTTTCATGAATTATGGTTTTGATGATAGAAAACAATATGACTGCCTTTTTCTACTGACATTTCAAGGCCAGGAGATCAGACGACAAACAAAACCAGCTCAAGATTGGGTAGATTAGGATTGAGTCAATATATAACTTTTGTTTTCTTTTTCTTGAGTCAATTGTAATCTTTGAAGTGTCTGATGCTAAGTAACCCTAAATACACACCTGAGTGATTCTTTTCTTACTAATTTAGATTTTTTTTTTTACTCATATAGTCCCGGATGATATTTATATTGTCCTGGATGATCAGGTTTAAAACATAAACCCTAATCAGGACTTCTAGTCAAGGCAGCCGTCATTAGGATATCGGATTGGATGATACATGTATCGGCTAGGACGATATGCTCAAAATAGAAAGAATTTGCCGACATTATCTATTTAGGCATTCTTTATTTTTGGATATCGGCTAGGACGATCGTGTATCGTCCTAGACGATTTGATACAATTATGCCTAAATTGATCAGACTATTAAGAAAAGCAATTAAGGATGATTGATATGATCACATCGTCCAGGATGATCTAAATATCGTCCGGGATGATCAGTTCAAAAACCTTAGTTGCTTCTAGACGATCAACATCGACCAAATCATATTCAGGGCAATTTTCTGGATGATTTGCCTCTGATTTGAACTAATCGTTCGGGACGATCGTGAGATCATCTTGGACGATCAAGCTAATTTTGAATCGTCCAGACCCCCAATCAGAGCGATGTTCAATATGATAGTCCACAATTTGTACTGATTGGCTAGGATGATAATGTCCGTTCTTGAATTTCTATTTAAAGGATCCAATTTTTCTCATGTATGAGACCTTGAGTGTTGCTGTCTTGACCTAAGAGAGCCTTGGGAGAGGGAGAGAGAGAGAGAGAGAAAGAGACTTGTGAGGGGGAGTTTGTGAGAGGGTTCACAAGGGTTACTCCAAGCAAGGTTCAAAGTCGTCTTCTCCGATCTTCGTCCTTTGTTCCTGGGAGGTCTACTTCAGCAAAAGGTTCGGGATCTCGGCCTGCTTCAGGAAGAAGCAAAAAGAGTCGGTTCTCTGCCCACTTCAGGAGGAAGCAAAAGGAGTCGGCTCTCTGCCGCATCGGGGTTGGTGAGAAGGAGTTGGGTGTAAAGGCTTCTTCTACTAGCTATGGGAGCTAAAGGAGAGATACTTACTTGAGGGGGAGTTTGTGAGAGGGTTCACAAGGGTTACTCCAAGCAAGGTTCAAAGTCGTCTTCTCCGATCTTCATCCTTTGTTCTTGGGAGGTCTACTTCAACAAAAGGTTCGGGATCTCGGCCTGCTTCAGGAAGAAGCAAAAGGAGTCGGTTCTCTGCCCACTTTAGGAGGAAGCAAAAGGAGTTGGTTCTCTGCCGCACCGGGGTTGGTGAGAAAGAGTTGGGTGTAAAGGCTTCTTCTACTAGCTGTGGGAGCTAAAGGAGAGATACTTACTTAATGCAATACCTGGAGGGTGCCTCCAGGGAGTGGACGTAAGTCAAGTTGACCGAACCACTATAAACCCTTGTGTTCTTTTTAGTGCTTCCGCATTTTAATTTTCCACACTTATTTTTCTATGGTGATTTTGGTTTGTGTTTATTGTGATTTGATCTAAGAAAGAGTTTTTAAAATAACAATTCACCCCCCCCCTAACAATTCCCCCCCCCCCCTCTTGGTTAGCCTCGGGCTAGTTCTTAAGGGCTTAACATCCCTAAAAAACTTTCAAGTGGTATTAGAGCGGGATTCACAAAAATTGAGTTTGAGAACTTTTTGAATTTTGATTCATGACTAACTTTAGGATTGTAATACAATGAAAGGATATTTTATTATACGACACACTTTGTTAGACAATCTACCTTTTGATTTTTTGAAAACTTGCATGTCTACTTTTTTACAATCAACTGATTATCGCATGTGGATGCTTATTAAAGAATGATATTCTCCACCTTCTTGTGAACTTAATGGAATTAAAACTGAAGTGCCTTTTACTGAATGGACTTTTGATTTAAGAGATTTAGCTCAACTTAAAGCAAAATATTTGAATTGTTTTTTCTGTGTGCTTTAAAATCTGAAGACTACATGCGTGTTTTCACTTGCTCTACTAGAAAAGAGATTTGGGATAGGTTGTGCATTACTTATGATGGAACCAATGAAGCTAAGCAATCTCGATTGAATATTCTCTTGCATGATTACGAACTTTTCGTATGAAACCTTCTGAATCAATTTCTGATATGTATACAAGGTTTACTCAAATCGTAACTTCTTTGTATGCCTTAGGAAGAGAACTTTCAA